CTGCTTTTCATTCTTGTCCATATTTCACATCAGAGGACTGGTACAGCCTTTAAAACTTCATTAAGAGGAGCAAATTCAATATCCACTGATTTCTTCTCGAAAGGCATTTTAACTCATCAGAGAGCCCTGCTGTTCCATTCTTGTGAATACTCTAGCCATGACAAAACTCAGTAGGGCACAGACAAATCCAATAAATAGAAAAAGAAATCTATTGAGTTTTGGAATGTTTGGTACATTCGATCCGTCCAGGATTATGCACCCTAAGCCTCTCATTGTAGATAGGAAGCTGGATGTGTGTCCTTCCATAATATATTGTCCAAGCAAGCTACTGGTCTCTGATGCCCACGTTGATCGGTCACAGAGCCAACACTTGGAGGTTCAACAGTAACATCATCAGTGATTCTTCTGGTGATCAGGGAGTAAGAATACCACCAGCAGAGCATACACAATCATGGCCCACAGCAAGTGCATCCAGGGTGGTTCCTTCAGCTTCAGGTTGGGGCGTTCGAGCACGAAGAATAGGACTCGGTACAAAGTCTCCATGTTAGTGGTGGCAGGGGCAGCTCTTGACCCCCTGTATCATTTTATTTTTATTTAGCACTAGAGCATAAACTATTTCCCATGATGGTCAAGCTAAAGGAAACACTTAGATAGCCCTTGCTATCTGGTTGGACCTGTTCTAAGGACTGAACATATAATGACTCGTTATCCCACATTCTTATATTATTTGTAAGAGACAGTGTCCAATCCATCCACTGATCTATCACAATTTAATTGGATGTCTTTGACCCATCTTCTGCTAAAGAAGACATTTGGTGCTGAGGTGCATTTTAGAGGTTGAGGACCAGTGTTCCAGAGCAAAAGCTGTCTTTCTGATTCTGTGTCTTCTCTTCCTACGAATATCCCAGCCTGAGCTAAAGAGTGAGCTCAGTTCTTGGTCCTGGGGAAAGCTCTGACCAGCCCCTAAGGTCCCTCTCCAAGGGAGAGGACCTTACCTCTCTGACTCAGAAATTGTCTTCTGAGTGGGAATGTGGCCTTCCTAGCTGAGAAGTCAGCCTCTGACAGGACAACCTTCCCAGAGGGTCAGTGTCCTTAACACTTCCTGAGCAAACGCAGATGTTCTCTGAGTCAGGTTTGGGGATAAGGTGGTGGTGTCAGGATGTACAGAAAGTACGATGAGTCAAGGGTGAGACTTTATGATGGTGTTCAGATGATGTTTTTGAACTCATAGCTCCAAAAAAGGTTACACTTAATCTTATTTTCCACTTATTTCTTTAAAGAATGCAAGGATGTAAATTAATCTTTTCTGACAAAGATACCCCATCAGATGCAACAGTTTCTTTTTTTTTATGATTATTTATTTATTTGACAGAGAGAGCGAGAGCACAAGTAGGGAGAGTGGCAGACAGAGGGAGAGGGAGAAGCAGGCTCCCCGCAGAGCAGGGAGCCCGACGCGGGGCTCGATCCCAGGACCCCGGGATCATGACCTGAGCTGAGGTGAGGGCAGCCGCTTAACCAACTGAGCCACCCAGGCGCCCCAAGATGTAGCAGTTTCAGTTAGGGCTATTCCTTGGTTTCGTTTGTGGTAGGTAGTCCACTGTCACTTTCCAGGATCTTTCTTTCACTCTTTGTAGGAACAAACTGGTGCATTACATGGAGAGACAATTGTGCATCCTTTGGGTCCTTTTGATCCATCTGTCACTCTCCCTGGGAGGACGGCTTCATTTACTGCCCCACCTGTGGATCTGGGAGTCAGTGTCAGGCCTGCTCTACTGGGAAGGCTCTTCCGTCACATGTGGAGATGGTGACGTAGCAGTTGTTTGCCGACTACCACACACTAGGGGACAAGAGAAATTTCTACCAGATGGATCCCTGGCCTTAGTGGATGCACTGTGAACCAGACCTGGGCTTGGACTCCTGCTGCTTGGTCCCCATAGCCTCCGCTCTCACCAGGGGCCATGGAGACACATTGGGCCCTCGGGTATCCCTATCCACCTGGATCTTACGTACAACAGTCCTTGAAATGTAAGGGTATTTCTTTCTTGATTTTATGGTTACTGAGTGAATGGTCAGAAGTCCCTTTAGAAAAGGAATGGGGAAATTGCTTTCTATATATTTGTGGTGGTGTTGCAGGTCCTACTTTCTCAGGACTTGGCTTCTCCTTTAGTCAGGGATTCTGGGTCTGAAAACTGTTCAAGATCAGAAGCTGAGCAAGGTGTTGTGATTTCATTTGCAACTGGGGTTGCTGCCTCAGTCTCCTGGTTATCTATTCTTGGTTTCTGCCGACTGTACAGACGATGATAACCTGTTGGCTGTTCACCCACCTTGCTTCTGGGGAGGCTGTGTTCTATGAATCATCTCCGACATCTAGAGAGTTCACACACACACACACAGAGTCTGATGGATGAGTGCTGCCCTCTCTGGCCTGAATCATTTCAGGATCCTCTAATCTGCATTGCTAACAGCAACACTAACTACTTCTATAGCAGAATCTCTCAACAGCCCAGGCCTTTCCAGGACACTCACCACACACTTCTCAGTGATCCTGCACATTCCTTTTTATTTTTTCAAACTCCTGCAACATCGTCATCAGTGGGTTTCCAGCATCACATGGTAAATCCATTCCAGGGTGGACACTTCTCTCAGCTTTTGATCCCTCATTTCTGCTACATTTATTGAGAACCGTTTCTTTTCCAAGCAGGAGAATCCAAACAGTGTGTTGGGTTCTTGCCAATGTGTAAAATTTCTGCACATTGGGAAAATGCTCCCATATCAATGAACTCTCCTGTAGCTAACTTTGTGTTCCATGCCCCTTGATCCAGAACCCTTAGAATCTAGTTCTTTATGGGACAGACGTTGAGTAGGTGGCAGAGCCCATGATGTTTAGCAGAACAGAAGCTTCTGCGTTGTCCTCAAGCAAGAAGGACATGCTTACCCTTAATAAGGAGAACTCGGGGTCTTGGAAAATCTGGGGATTTAGATGTTCTAAGTCATCCAACCAGATGTCTCCACCCAGTGTCTCAGGGTTCTATTTTTTTCCAGTCAAGGCCATGACCTGGGCATAGAAGATAATTTAGTTTGACAGTTTAACCTTCTTTGGAGCTCTGCTATTCCTACGATTAAGTCTTGGACGTGAACCTTAGGTTTTTGTGCTCTCGGGTTGCAGGATATGAGAGGTTCTTGATCTCCTCTTATGGAAACACTCTGGCTTCCACAGTTAGCCTTTATTTGGTCACATATCACCCTCAGCCTTTAACCATCTCTCTCCAAAGCATCAATTTCTTCTAGTAACCATCTTTAAATTGCCTTAAAATCATATCGCCTTAAAAGTTCCACCTCTCCCACATTTCTCGAGCACCTGATACATCACACCCACCAATACGTATCCTTTCACCAGTGTAACCACCTCATTCAGGCTTGGTGAAAGTTTTAAAAATTGCTATGGGGCACCTGGGTAGCCAAGTCAGTTAAGCGTTGCACTCTAGGTTTCAACTCAGGTCATGATCTCAGGGTTGTGAGATCAAACTACGTGTTGGGCTCTGCACTGGGCACAGAGTCTGCTTAAGATTCTCTCTTTCCCTCCCTCTTCCTCTGCACCTCCTCTCCCTCCCTCTCTAAAAAAATTAAAAAATAAAAATTGCACTGCTACTCTGTACCTGGGGCTGTTTGTGCTCCACCCATCCCCTCACTGCCAACCGGATGGTGGATAGCTCAGCTTCAAAACTCTAAAACTCTCATCCTAGCACCTTCTTTCTCAGATCCCTTCTGGTGCCAGCCACTGCAGATTGGGTGACCTGTAAAGACTCAAAGGTGGAGATTTGCATGCAAAGCTTACTGGAGCACTACCTCAGGGTCAACAGAAAGGCATCTGACCCTCGGGGGTCTCTGCAGCTGGGATGGGCCCTTCAGAGCTGTCCCAAGTTGAGAAGTCAGTCTTTACCTTTTATAACCTCCATTGACCAGTAATTGGATACAGGCTGCCCCTGGAAAGGGGACATGACCTCGACCTGAGATCATTCCCAACAAGGGGTAACAATTGAGAACCACCAGGTGACAACCTCCCAAAGATCTGGGAGGATAATTCCTTCTATCCAAGGGGTTCAGGTAATCTGGGAAACACACCATCTGTGACAGTCACAGTGAGAAAGAAGAGAGGGATGAGACAAGTTTGAGCACAGGATAGGGTATAAAAACCACCATAGTGATGCCAGACGCTGCAGAAAACATTTTATTGGAGACAGTGCAGGGCTGGTTCTGAAGCTGAGGAATCTAGGGTGGAGAGGGGAAAGCCCATCCTTCAAAGGATGCCTTGCCCAGGTGTCTTAACCTGAGTGCACTGGAGGTCAGACAGTAGGGAAGTTTCTGAGGATCTGAATTAGAGGGAGGCTCTGGGTCCCACTATCATGGAGATGCCCCTCTCTCCATGCAAGGCAGTCTCCTGCTCCCACTCCACCTTAGGGTTCCTAAACCAAAATGACCAGTCAGCGTGCGTGTGGGAGGGTGGGGGTCATGGATGAACACTGATCTGAAAAGACTTGGAAACTGACAGGACGTGTTTGTCCTGGGGGAGGGAAAGTGTTATGAGCTGGAACCTAGGTTGTACAGTTACCCTCCCACTCTTATTTCTACACCTCCATGGTGGAGAGAGAAGGGGGAACATTCTGTCTGGGAACATTCTTCTTCAGGATGTCGTGGCAGACTGAGCCATCCTCACGGAAGGCTGATTTTCCTTTGATGGTTAGGAGTGATTAAATTTAGAACAGAGGTGTGAGGATTTAGGGTTTCCATTCTTTTGTTCTTCTCCCACATATATACTCTTGCAAGGAGAAATAGCAGTAACCTTCTGAATATAATTCTACTTGGTAGAGAGTGGGAACTCTGGTGGCATAGCGTGATTTAGTCAAGTGGAGGCCATTTAGGAAGAGTGTAGTGAAACACGGAATTTTTTTAAAGGTCTTCAGATAAGAAGCAGGGTGGCTCCTCCCCCAAACTCGGCCTTCCTATTTACTTTTGAACTGTTTCAGGTACTCCAGGATGTCTGACTTGACCGTGCTGATGGGAGTCCGGTGGAACCAGCGCATGACAGGGACTCCATCAGGCCCCACCAGGAACTTCTCAAAGTTCCAGCGGATGTCGTGGACCTTTACGGGATCCCAGGATATATGTCTGAATAAGCCCAGAACCTCAGAGGGGTGAGGGCAGGAGAGCTGGAGCAGAGATGGAACAGACAGACAGCATCATTTCTGTTATTTTCACCCACAGGGAATCCGCTCCCTCCCATGCCTAGATATTCTGATTTCCTGTGATTCTTAACAAATCCTCTGGATTGCCACCATGCCAACTATCAAGATGGTTGTAGATATAACAGCAAAAGTCTGTTCCCTCCTCCTGTTCCCCTGTGACCCCTGTGATCACAAAGCCACGCCACTGTGAGTAAGATACGTCACCTCTGTGGCTGTCAGTTTCCTTTTCTGCAAAACGAATGGTTTAGATTAGAATGCAGTTTCCCAGGTCTTAGGGCTCCTGGGCCAGTAGCATTCCAAAAATATCTTTGGGACCAACATGGAAGTCCAACATTTTTTTTTTTTTGTCAAATAATAAAACTTTTGAGAAACAACATCACTTTATCATTTAATTTAAAAAAAGATTATTGTAAGAATAAATTACATATAGGTCCTAATCTTAGAATAACCCTATGAGTCAGTTGAGTTTATGAAACCCTCCTTACACTGTCCTGTTCCCATTTTATATACGCTGAGGGTATATAAAAATCTCTATCTGAGTGAGTGCTGGCTTGCCATCCAGCATTTAGGAACAATTAACAGCTGGTGGTTAGAGACCCTGTCAGCCTTCAGTTCTCTGTATCTAAAAGTCAGTGTTTCATAAAAGGCACTTACTACATGGTATTAACCTATTGATTTCTACTTCCCCCTCTCCAGTAGGAACCCATCAAGGACTGGGGTGTCTTATCATTCTTTATATCCATATTATTTAGCAAACTGCCTCATACTCAGCAAATGTACTTTGAATGAATGAATGTCAATGAGCAAAAGAGGGTGGTCCTCAGAAACACAACCACTCTACATAGCCCTCCTCATCATGAAAGCCAGAATCTCATAAATACTAACAAATTAAACCTGGATCTCTATCCTAACATTGAGACCTCTTGCCAAGAGTCCAATGTCACTTCCAGGCATGAGCCTTGGGTCCATTTCCACCACACCAGCTCTCTGCTAGGAACGCTAGGAAAGAAGAGGTTTGGGTCAGTAATTCACTCACCTTCAAGAAGGTGAAGACCTTCTGTTCCTTCTCGCCATTCACGTCCCCTTTCTCAAAGAGCTGGAAGTTGGGTATGTATCCTCTCCCTGGACGGACATACCTGCAACGAGCCACAGCATTCCCAGGAAGCTCCAGAATGTAGGAGAGAAAGTCATGGTGGGCCACCAGGATGAGGGGTCACAGGAGGGGCAGGAAGAAGGAAAGATGTGGAAAACTGGGCTAGGAAGGGAAAATAAGCCCATTTCCTGACTTTGGGCTCCCTGATTCACGTAACGTTTCTCGTTCTGCTGTGCTCTCTGCGCTGCTCCTGTCCCAGCTGTGTCTGTGTTCCTGCGCCCCTGTGGTCCACCCAGATCTCACTCCCAGGGAGAAGGAGAGTCTCTGGACTCTGCCAGACTCACATCAGGATCAGACAAAGCTGCTGTCAGTTTGCAGGTGCCCCCAACCCACACCCACACTGGAGACCGAAGAAAGGTAGACAGGGGCCTCCTCTGGGGTTCCAAGCAGGCACTTACTTCAGCCCCGGAAGAATCTCTGAGTTCTCTCCTGGTTCCTGCTTTCCGAACTGGTTGCAGGGAAAGCCCAACACGACCAGGCCCAAGGGCTTCAGCTCCTCCTGAAGTGCATTCAGTTCTGTGGGTAGAGAAGGGACAGCAAGGAGGCCTGACTAGAGACTCTGCCTTGGGAGAGAACGATCTGTACTCATTTTCAGGGAAAGAGAGGACTAGGGAAGGAAAAATCTCTAGATGGGAAAGACTCTTAGTGGAAGGGCTGAAGTTAGATGCTGGCGCTCCAGACATGCATTCAAAAGCCCTTTATTATAGGGTAATATTTCCCAAATCTGTGGCACATCCAAATCAGCTGAGGGCCCTTTCTTAAAAATAAGGATGACCACGTCCCATCCCAGATAATTCTGATTCCCTTCTTATGAGACGGCCCCCAGTCACCTTTATTATTCAAAACCTCACCAGGTTCCTGTTGATTGTAGAAGTTGCAGCTGCTTATGGAAAGTGTATGGAGGTGTTATTAATGGGTTCAGTTTCAGGTTGACAAGATGCAAGTGTTCTGGAGATTTGTCTCATAAGAATGTGAATACACTTAACACGACTGAACAGTACACTTAGAAATGGTTGCAATTGTAAATTTTATGTCATGTCTTTTGTTAACCACATACGTACAAAAGCTTGCCTTCCCTGGTTGGTTAATTGCTAGGCTGAATCTTTCTTTTTAATTTTTTTTAAGATTTTATTTATTTGAGAGAGCGATCAGAAGAGGGGGTACGGTCAGAGGAAGAAGCAGACCCCCCACTGAGCAGGGAGCCCGATGCGGGACTCGATTCCAGGACTCCGGGAACCATGACCCAAGCCAAAGGCAGTTGCTTAACCAACTGAGCCACCCAGGCACATTGAATCTTTCTTTTTTAAAGGAAAAGACACAGATGAAGAGAATGGGCTTCTCTCCTCTGTACAGACTGGGTGCCCTGGGTGGAGCAGAGATAAACCTGACAGGTGCAAAGGGAACCAGAGAAATTCCAGGTCCAGCTTCCTGGTGTTCTTCAACAATCCTCAGGATGTTGAAGATACATTCTACCTAATGGTCCTCACTGACATGCCAAAACACAAGATCGCACCTAGCTTCTTTCACTGTTTTCCAATCTGCTCAGATTTTTATAATCAACCTCTCTATTAACGCTTTCTGGGCTAGGTGGCTACTCACTGTCAGTCCCACTGCACGGCCAACTGGTCAACTAGTACTTCCTCTGAGTCCTGTTTTTCTTCTCCTTTTCCTTTCCCTTTCCCTTCCTTTCCCTTCCTTTCCTTTCCTTTCCCTTTCCCTTTCCCTTTTCCTTACCTTTCCTTTCTTTCCCTTCCCTTCCCTTCCTTTCCCTTCCCTTTCCCTTTCCCTTTTCCTTCCCTTTCCTTTCTTTCCCTTCCCTTCCCTTCCCTTCCCTCTCATTTCCTTTCCTTTCCTCCTTTCCTTTCCTTTCCTTTCCTTTCCTTTCCTTTCCTTTCCTTTCCTTTCCTTTCCTTTCCTTCTTTATCTTTCTTTCCTTTTCACAAACTAGAGATTGCCTTCCTGATTCCATATGGTTCCTCAGTACCTCTCCCCCATCCTTCCCGCCTGTCTTCAGTCACTGTACGTGATCACTTCCTCCTGTCTTCCAGTCCTTAAGCAAACATTCCTTAGTGTCCTTGTCTGTTATGTACAGAGTGGGAACTGAATAAATTGATTTTTAAAGTCACTGTAAACTGGCAAAATGAATTACGGTCCAACATAATGTTATTCAGTCTTGAATGAGGAGATGGTCTGAACTCTAAGGTACTTTATTAATTAAAACAAAAAGTAAAGTGGCAAGTAGTATTTATATTATGCTGCAACTGTGGGGGGGGGGAGCAGAAAAAAAAACCTCTATCTATATATTTTGTATGCATGATAATACCAGTCATTTAGAGGGAGGGGGAAGGAGGTGGAAAGACTTCTCACTCTAGGCTTTTTGATTCCTATAATTTGTGAGACTTGTGAATATATTACCTATTCAAAACATAATCAAAATGAAGTTCTTGTTAGTTTAAATATAAGTCCCTCCGTTTCTGATAAAATTCATCCTATTCATTATTTTTTTTTTAAGTAGGCTCCACTCCCAGCATGGAGCCCACCACAGGGCTTGAACTCACGACCCTGAGATCAAGACACGAGTTGAGATCAAGAGCTGGACATTTAACCAATGGAGCTACCCTGGCCCCCTTTGTCCTACTCATTCTTCATTGTCTTCTAAACTCCATGGTCTGAGGTATGAGAAAGATAAAGTCCCTCCCTGAGTGACACACAGAGAGGAGGAGTCTAAGTCCGGGAGGCACTGAGTTGGAGTGGGAAGATTCGCCTCTCTCAGCACCTGCCCACCAGCTCTCCAGCCAAACACGGCTCCAGGTATAAAACCCCATCCCCCTCTCTCTGTCTTTGTAGGTTGCCTGTAAAACCCTGGACAAGCCTCAGAAACATCGATCCTGTCTCCGTATTTACCAAGGAGACTTCCGGAATCTGTGGAGAGGCTCCTAGTGCTCGGAGATTTATTGATTCTCCTGGAACTCCCAGGAGCAAAGTAGAGGCAGAACATAGGGAAGTAGTCGGCAAACTTTTTCTATAAAGGTCCAGGCAGAAAATACTTTAGACTTTGCCAGCCAGATGGTCTCTGTCACTGTTACCATCAAGTCCTCAGCCCGGCCTGGAGGCGTGAAATCAGTATGTAAGTGCAGGGCCATGGCTGTGTTCCCATAAAGCTTAGTTTACAAAAGCAGGCTGGCCAGATTAGGCCTGTGGCCTTTGCTTGCTGGCTCCTGACATCAGGGAGTGAAGTCACTTGATCATGAGGATCGATTCTGGTATGTAGAGAGAATATAATTCTAATTATGATTTAGAATATAATGAGCTGGAAACTTCCGTCCCGAGGAGATGTGGCTGTGAATTCTTACCAGGATACTGAGCTGTCAGGCCACAGTAGGTGGCCACGTTGACAAAGAGGACGGGCTTGCCGGCGTACTGCTTGAACTGAATGTGCTCCTTTCCATTCAGAGTGAGGGCTTCATAGTCATAGATTGTGCCTTTCACATCTTTGTAGCAATCCATCTGGAAGATTTAAAAAATGATGCTGTTAACGACAACAATTCCTAAACTCTGTGTAAGCTTTCGAAGCACTCAAAGAGTAGTACCTGTATCGACTGAAAGCAAACCAGGACAGTTGTCCACGGTGTGTGTGGACTGAGACTTAAGTCTTGTGACTTGGAAGCCACTGGTTTTTGAGCAAGCCACAGTCAAGCCTCCCTGTCCTGTTATCCTGGGGGTGGTAGGATACGAGGAAATGCGCTGGGATGAGGTGAACAGAGCAGAGGTTCATGGAATCGCAGGGAAGCCCTAGAAAGCAGTGGGCCAAAGAGGAATGCTCACTGTGCCTCTGTGAGAATGAGGCTCGCGTTGGCTCTGGACCGAAGGCATCCTGCCTGGACTCTCCCAGGGAAGGGAAGGTTCTGGATCGCTTACATACGTAGCGGAAAGAGCTCTGACCTGGGAATCAGAAGACAGCTCTGCTGTCAAGTCCTCCTGTGAACCTGGGCAGTTCTCATCCTTGACCCTCAGTTTCCCCACCGCTAAAATGAAGACATTCATCTAGATTCCGGTCAGGTCCTCACAGGGCCTTCCCGGTTCAACATTCTAGAACCTAGTATCAGCTGTGCCTTGAAGAGCGTTCTCTCTCCTGTCACTCGCTTGCTCGAATGATGGTCTGACAAGCCGCGGCCATGACACTGTAGCTCCCAGCGGCGGACGTGGAGAGCACCAATCCATCTGTCATTGGCACCAAAATCTGTCTGGCAGCACCGAGCTGCTGCAATATCAGCCCCCAGCCCGCCCCGTTCTGCTCTGGGAACTTAATCCTCGCCTTCATCACTGGCTCCATCGAGCCTGTTCCTCCCCAAGTCTCCTGAACATATTTGAGCAGAGTTCCAAGTAATACAGATAAATTCCATGTAACAGAAACAAGTTGTCCAGACATTCTCACTGCCTGTTTTAGGTTAAATTCCTCTGCAAGGCAGATCTCACCTTATTCTTCCTCCACTCTATCCATGTAGGGTCCGTGAAGGACCCCTTTTCCGACACTGGGAAAGCTGCTGCCAGTTGCTCATGGAGCACAGGGAGTATGAACAGAAAGTGTGAGAAGGAAGGCAGAGGAACTGATCGGAGAAAGGGGAGAAAGACATGATCTGATAAGGAAGGTCCAGGTAGTATTTATAGAATGCTGCAACAGTGGGGGGGAGCAGAAAAAAAAACCTCTATCTATATATTTTGTACACATGATAATACCAGTCATTTAGAGGGAGGGATAAAGATTAAACCAGGCTCCCCGGAAATCCAGTGGACTAGAAAGGATTTTAGCCAACACCACCTGTCCAGATGCAACACAAATGAAACCAGACTTCTCCAACCTTCTAGGCCAACTGCTTCTACCACTAGCTCTCCAGGCTCTGGAACTCGCTCCCTGCTCCTGGGCAGAAAGGTTCCTTCTCTCTGCAGGCTTTCGCACCTTTCCCTGAGTGCATACGCAAACACATACCAGCGAAACTGAGACATGCATAAAGAGAATACCATATGAAAGCATCCATCCGTTTCCATGATGCTGGGCTCTAACCTAAACATTTTTAAGAATTTGTCTCTTGGGCGCCTGGGTGGCTCAGTTGGTTGGGCGACTGCCTTCGGCTCAGGTCATGATCCTGGAGTCCCGGGATCGAGTCCCGCATCGAGTCCCGCATCGAGTCCCGCATCGGGCTCCCTGCTCGGCAGGGAGTCTGCTTCTCCCTCTGACCCTCCCCCCTCTCATGTGCTCTCTCTCATTCTCGCTCTCTCAAATAAATAAATAAATCTTAAAAAAAAAAAAAGAATTTGTCTCTTATTTTTTTCCTTTGCTACTGCAGTGAAATTTACTGGAAATCGTGTTGGGTAACCAGGGTGTGGGGTTTAGAGAGACTCTGGGCCGGGAGAGCCCTTCTCAGGCCAGCTTACTCGGGATACTCATTGCTGCTTCAGACATATTTATTTAAGTCCACATGATATATCTCCAATACCTCCAGACTCCGCTTTTTATTAAGCAAATGCTATTGCCCAGGTTCCAGGGGCTTCATACCCGATTAGGCAGCCTTGAGTAACAGAAAAGCCACACCAATTCTCAGAAGTAGAGAGTAGGGCGCCTGGGTGGCTCAGTTGGTTAAGCGACTGCCTTCGGCTCAGGTCATGATCCTGGAGTCCCTGGATCGAGTCCCTGGATCGAGTCCCGCATCGGGCTCCCTGCTCAGCGGGGAGTCTGCTTCTCCCTCTGACTCTCGTGCTCTCTGTCTCTCATTCTCTCTCTCTGAAATAAATAAATAAATCTTTAAAAAAAAAAAGTAGAGAGTAACCCAGGAGGTTTTCCCGTCAACTTCAGAGTGGCAGGAAGATCTTACCAGAGCTGCCTTTTACTGAACACATTCTATGTGTCATAATTATTGCTCACCTGCCCACAGGTAGATACTGTTGCCCACAAATTTATAATGAGAAATCCCGAGGCTAACAAAGGCGAAGGGACTTGTTCAAGACAGAAGTGATCGCCCCTCTACACGGATGAAAGGTTGCTTGCCTCTCGCTTCATGATTCCATTTTGCCTCCAAGTCATCCAGATCATTGTCGCCCTTCCCAGAGCTGCCCCTCCCTTTGCTATACACACAGTTCATCAATAAGGCAACTGAGCCATGAACTGGGACTAGACTGAGGCCAGAACCCAAGACTCCTGATCCTAAATCCAGTTGCTTTAGACCTCCAATTATTTATTTATTTATTTATTTGAGAGAGAGAGAGAGAGAACAGGGGCATGGAAGGGGGGGAGGGGCAGAGAGAAGCAGACTCCCCGCTGGGCTCAGTCCCAGGACCTGAGATCGTGACCTTAGCTGAAGGCAGATGCTTCACCAACTGAGCCACCCAGGCACCCCTAGACCTCCAATTATTTTGCCTGTGTTTATGTTTCTCTGATTAACTCTCTGACTTTATCCATCCCTAAAACTTCCACTGCCTTCCCGTGCCCCAGGCCCAGCTCTGATGTAAATTAAGTACTGGTGTAGCTGGAAGAGTATCCACGCCACCCTAACTAGAGATGCAGGAGAGCAAGGACCACAGTAAGGAGACTCTTCCCTACCTGTATTCAGCTCAAGGAACACCCATTTCTAGGACCAAAGAAGAGTCAAGAAGAAAAGAAAGGTTAATGGAAAACCCCAAGAAGAAAGAAAGCAGAGGTCAGAGTCTTACAAGAATGACTGGAGCAGGACAAAACAGTAACTTGACCTTGGAACCCTACCCCGCCCTCTCTGGAGGTCACTCACCTTCATCTTCTCAGGCTTGGCATTTGTCTGTGTAAAGCTGACTAGCAGAAGAGGAACAAGGTAAGAGGCCCTTAACTGTGCAGTCATGACTAGTGTCTATAGATCTAGTCTTTGAGGCTGAGATCTCGCACGCCTGGCAGCCTTTTGATATGCTAGCCAAGCCTGCGCAGGCCAATCGCAAGGTGGCAAGGATTTCTGGGGCATGAGTGGGGACGTAGAATTTAAACCACATCCTCACCCACACACACCCCCGTGGGCATTCAGTGCTCACCGGTGCGATGCGGACCTGAGACTCACATAAATTCTGGCAGAATTATGAAAAGGTGAGGGCAAGCGTCCATGGTCCTTGAAGACTACTGTGTGTTTTAACGGAGTGGATAGTAGGGTCCAGACGCAGACAGTGCCTCCCCAGCATTGCAGTGGGGTGGCTGCAGACGGGACGACAGAGATTCCAAATACCATTCTTAATCTCATGATGTGTGGACCACCTAGGACCTCTCCAAGAGAGCTGGAAGGAAACTGGCCCCAAGGAGGGAAAAATATTCTCAATATGTGCGAAGGAAGCCCATTTCTATGTTCATTATACAACTGCCTTCAACTGCTGACAAATTAGCAAGGAAAGCAACCAGCCCTACAGACAATGGGCAGCAGAAAATAAGCCAAACCGCATCTGAGCTGGGATACAATGTTCTCCTCACCAATAATCAAAGAAATGATGCATTCCGTATTTATCAGATTGGCCGAAGTCACCTAGGTGTCATGCATCTGGTCTAGGAGGTTCTTGCGCACCAGATTGGGGAGGGGACGAGCGGCCGCCAGTTTTCTGGAGGATAATCCACCATTAAAAATGCTCTTAATCTCCGGGAAGCCCCAGGGCCTGAGAAGGATAAGGGCAGGAGACACGAATTCCTCTAAGAAGAAAAATGCCACCATTGTTCGAATGCAGTTCCTAGTAGCCCAATAGTCTCCACTGACATGGGGACTAACAGGGGACCCAGACCTGGAGCCTAGGAATTGCTGGATTTCCCACTTGCATAATATATTTACCCCCCCCCACACCCCCCCAGGGAGGCTTATCAAGATCTTCCTCCCTCTTGTGTACAATACTGTCTACTTTTGGACCTTGAGTGCTGGGATCTGAGCTCATCACACTCCCGAATTCATGATCATTTGTCCTTGCAAGGCCCCTCTCTTGTTTTGTGTATTATTCCCAGGCTTTAGCTCCCAAACCCCATTCTCCCCCGCCATGGGTAAAATATGTTTAATATTCCTATTGTTTGTTTTCTTGAAAATCGTGTGCATTCCTCATCAGATTATTAGCCCCTTGAAGCTTAAAACATCACTTACTCCCCCCCCCATTTGGACGTCACATTCAAAGGGTTGAGTTAATCAAACTCTTAAATTTATGGCACTTTATCATCATTAGGCTGTGCGATGCCTGTCTTATTATATATATATATATATATATATATATATATTTTTTTTTTTTTTTAAGTAGGCTCCACACCAGCTCGAACTCACGACCGTGAGCTTGAGACCTGAGCCGAGATCAAGAGTCGGACACTTAACCCACTGAGCACTCAGGCGGCCCTTATTACATTAATTTTATTTAAATTGGTTTTTGTCCCCCATCCACTCCCACTGTCGGGGGAGCTGGCAGGGAAACAGCTCTGCAGCCTGGAAGGCTGGCGGCCCCGGATGACAAGCGGGCAGATGCCTAAACAAGGGGGAATGTTCGTGGGGTCTTGGAATCTCGGGTAGGCCACCCCCTGGGTGGAAACTCCAGATTCCCTGAGGAGGGTCGGGCTGCTTCCCGCCACCTCTCTTCCCTCAGCCTTCCCCCCAGAGGGTGTGCGAGCCAGCTCGGCTAACTCCCCGGGGCTGAGACGACACAGCCGTCCCCAGCGGTAAGCCCCCGTCCCCCCAGCCGGGCCGCCCTCCCCAGGGCCGCACAGCGCTGCCTCCACCTTCTGGAAACTCAGTCCCGTCGGGCTCAACGCTCCGACTTGGGCATTTCTGAGCTCTCTTGGAAAACAAGCTTTTGTTCTCCCAGATTCCCCATCTCTACTCAGAGGCCTCCAATCTGGTGGGGGGAGGAGGGAGCCTAAAACATGACCTCTGACCCAGCCTCGAAGCTCCCCCCCCCCAGAGGTGGCTGAGCCGGGTTTCCTGTTTGGTGTGTCTGCCCCCCCACCGGTCCCCGCTCTCTGGGTTCATAGAATGATGGAGATTAAAGCATCGAGCCTCAAGAGTCATGTTTTTAATTGTTCCTTCCCAAGCTGTGTGACCAAAGTCTGCGCCTCTGGTTCTTATTTGTAAAATTCGGAGAATAATGTGACCTGGACCAGCCCTGGACGTGGCCCCAAGGTAAACATCCCATGTTTACTCAACAGATGACGAAACCGGCGCCCAAGTAGAAGAACCGATTTCCCCAAAGTCCTGTGAAACTGCACCCTGCCCCCGCCTTTCTGTTTTAAATCCCTTGCTCTCTCTGCCGTTTTATCTTTGCTCAGGACACAAGAACTCCCGGAGTAGAAGAGAAACTTTCATTACAGACTCTGCCTCACGGGTCAGATCAAGTGGCCTAAAATCTCCCCAAGCCTCTGTGTCCCACTGCTGTAGTCTCTGTCCGGGAGAAGAGTCTCTGGAAACCTCCACCGGAGGCCTGGGGGGGGCACTTCCCGTCTTGGTCCACAGCTGCTGCCTCATCTTCCACCCTCCGCTAGAGCCGCTGATCAAACCCCATCGTTTCCTTTCCGGAAAGTGGGAATAATCTGCTTGTCTTCTCTCTTCCAGGCTCTTCCTTTCCTGCAGCCGCTCGAGCCTCGAGACACCTGCCTGCTGACATGGCTCCACGGAGGAAGTCAGGCTAACCAGGTTGGGAGAGCATCACACCCGGACGGGCAGGTACCCAAACCTCTCCTTTCAGCGCCTCAACCCCCCTCCCAGGACGCCCTCCTGCGATTCTCGGCACACAAGCAAAAATCCACCGACTCCCTAAAACACATCTCTTTGGACTTACATTCTTGATCTTGGAGGTCGGTAATTCTGAGTACTTTGGGATTCTACCTCCCTTGCTCCAAACCATCTCTATATGTATGCCCACCGAGAGGCAGGGGAGGGCAATTTTATCAAACAAGATTTTAAGTGGACGTGTTTGTGACCTGAGCCGTAACTTTAAGGCGGAAAGCCTGTCCGGATCTAAATTGGCCATAAACTCTTGTCACTTTCCGACTTTAAAAATCCTACAATTGCAAATAGACCATAATCTTCAGTAGACAGGGTGGCAAAACCCCCTATGTCTCAACCACTCCTGCCCTTTGCCACACAGACTCCAACTTCTCCTTGAGCTAGGGCTCGTGGGAGGAGAATTTTCTTGCCCGAGGTCACGCAGCTAGTGAGCGGCAGCTTAAACACCCAAAGCCCCCAGACTCCTTGGCCTAGCCTGTTAAGGACTTGATCCTACCTGGAAATCAATACCAAGTTTCTTGTGTTTTAGCTAAAAGTGACAGAAGTTTGTGCCTTTGATCATAAAGGAAACAAGTTCCACTTTTGCCGAGATGCTGTCCACCTCCTCCTCCCAGATTCAAACCCAGACTTGGCAACCCAAACCTGACCTAGAGATTTTTGTCCCCATTTACATGGGGACAGATATACTTGAATATTTTCCCTGAATTAGATCATCTCTTTGGGCATCTGGGATCCCCACGCAGAACTCCAGGATTTTCCTTACTCTGGGTACAAGTGTGAGGCCTAAGACCCATTCCTAAATCTGCAACTTTAAAATAATATTGCGTATGTTTATATAATATTTGTAGTTCACAAATCTCCTTCCCATAGTGATCCCACTGAGCCCTCCCAGTGAGCCCTTTGCATACGGAGGACACGCATTCCTTGCTTGAATTTGCAATGGAAAAGTGAAGTTCACAAAGGGGACTTGACTTGCGCAAAGTCTCAGAATAGTGTAGACCTAGACCATAAACTTGCGTTTTTATTTCAAATCCATCTGTCTCTCCACTCTCGGCTCCATTCCCCATGAAACATGTTCGGAAATGAAGGAAAGTCCTTGAGAGACCACTGTCCTTTTGCATTTAATTTTCATCCTCAGGTTTCCTTAACCTTCTGACTTCCTTCCCCAAACATGCTGAGGTCTGGGGCTCTCCTCTGGTCGAGCCTGGCCGTGGCCCTGGGCCTTCACAGAGGCGCTGGCCTGGCGCTCGGACTGGACTTTCGGAGGGGTGTGTCACCCGCGCCCGCCTCCTCCCCCGGCCTCCAAGGAGGAGGAAGGCTGGAAGAGATCTGCTCCTCGGGGGTTGGGCTGGGGCGGCACTAAGAGGAAGGCTGTGTGCTCCCCCAGGCAGTGTTCTTGTCTGTTACTCCGGCCCTAATGGGCTGGGGGAGGGCGTGGGAGAGAGCTCGCTGTCCGTGCACAACCACCGGAAGCTGAGGAACCCACACCGTTCAAAACCCGAGCCCTCCCACCTGCAGAGCCTCCAGTCTGTGCCTCAGGCCCTTGCTGCTCCCAGGGAAGGAATAAATACCCACCACATCCACGAGCACACGCTGCGGCCTTCACCAACGACTGGAAGAGGCTGTGAGGCATTGGGAAAACACCTCCCTAGGCCTCAGTTTACCCACTTATAAACCAGAAAATCTCCAAAGTCCCTTCTAAGGCTAACATTCTCAGTTTATGTTCCCAGCTTTTGAGAAATTCTGATCGCCTCCGAAGCTGATTGGATCGTTTTGTTTTTTTTTTTTATCCCTACACGATTGGGAAACAAAAGTAAGAATCAAGAAATCTTACAATTTCGAGCTCTACTGTGTCCTATAGGTCATATAGGTTTTCCAGGCCACAACTGTATGCGTGAGAACCCGATGCTCAGGAAAGTGGAAAGATTGCCTGTCCAAGTTCAAGGCCAGGGCCAGACAGACACAGACTCTCTATCCATGTTGCAATCAGATGAGATGCAGAACAACAGATTCGAGACCGAGACCACTTGGCTTCTCCGCTCCCATCCTACAACCTGCCGGCCCGTGGCACCTGAGGGAGGGCATCAAGGGCAGTGGGAAACAGCAGGAGTTGACCT